AGGCATCTATACTCAAGAGCCGCAGGCATCTATACTCAAGAGCCGCAAGCATCTATACTCAAGAGCCGCAAGCATTTATACTCAAGAGCCGCAAGCATTTATACTCATGAGCCGCAAGTATCTATACATACTCGGAGCCGCAAGTATCTATACATACTCAGAGCCGCAAGCATCTATACTCGACACAAAATGCTTTCATACTCAGTTACATGCATCCATGCCCAGGACGCATCTACACTCAGAGTTACATTTTCATTTGTAAGACCAGAGAGCAGAAGTACAGTACTCGATCTTGTAGGTGATACAGGCACAGACTGAAGTCCCCCCATTAGACTGAGAGAAACTGTCCAACTCTAGCATTGTTCCATTTCAGAAGCGTTTGCACCTCGGCCAGTTTCTCTTTACACAGGTATCCCAACAGAAATATCGTCTCAGCCAGAAGTATCTCTGAGCTGCACCAGAATTCAGCTGCTATTTGCACTGGTTAATGCCCATAGTTCTATATAAATTATTAAAACTGACTGGGGTGTAAAGTTAATGAATTATGAGCATAAACGGCCAAGATGTTCTGGAGAATTCTTGAGTTTTTAGTGGACAGTTATCAACTTGGGCTTCATGAGATCAACAGTTCTGTCAGAATTAAACTATTTCTCCAAGCAGAGGCTGTTTTAACGGCTACCTACACATTTTCATTTCAAAATGTCTGAAATATCCCTTTAAGGAACCCTGTACGGTCGTGGTCATGTGCTAGTGTGGGTTTTAAAACCTGACAAACTAGCTGATAATCTCCACTGGCTGGCTGTACACAATAAAGATGATATTCTGATGTTTAGCTTCACTGCGGTGACAACAAATGTATCTTCCATTTTAAAGCAGTTGATCCAATTTCTTTTTATTGTTTAACTGTATAGAAAATTAAAATATTTTTGTTAAACCACTCAGTGCATGTGTGAGTACCGTTCCAGTGGACAGTAAAAGTTTAAATACTACTACGTACTTGCGTGGTGAAAGAAGATCCACTTACCCGACTGTAATCTGAAAACTGCTTGTCACATTTTTCATCCAGCTGCAGAAAAAAAAAAAAGAGGCACGATTGTAAAATAAGTGGGGAACGATTGACAAAACCTGCATGCTCGTTGTTGAAGCTGTAATCTGAAAATTAATTGTTAGTTCACACTTGAATATAAATATGGGATAAATGCTGCATGTTCACGAACCATGAAGAGTTAAAATGACTTTTTAAATCCACCGGCTTAAAGAAGGAAACTCCTCTAAACGCATGCTGCTGTCACACACTCAAACACGGTTTGTGGTTGAAGACATCGTCTTCATTGAAGGTTGGTTTATTTCTAAACAGGCACTATTCATTTCACCACACAAACAGCATTTCCATCTAATCACACAGCCGTGAGTTTGATTCAGGCACTTACAGCGTCCACATCTGGAATGCTCAACTCATCGAGGTCAGAAACAATGCTGCCCCTTCGGTTGGAGCGGCTGAAATAATCAGCCGCAGACTCACTAATGTCCGAGAAGTCAGACGACTGCTCACAAAAACACGAACACACACACACAGGATGAAGAGGACAGCAGCAGAGAAAAGGAAAGGAAGACAGATGAGGGGAATAATTACACCTAGGAGTCAGAAACTAATCTTTAAAGGTAAGAGCGTTAAAGTTTATGATAAAAACAGCTTTAATGCTAAAATGGCTGCGACAGAACGAGATCTGTGGCGGTTTTGTGAGGCCCAGCTCACCGCGCTGTCCCTCCGACCTCGACGGTGGCGCTCCTGGGACACGCTGCTGACCGTGTCGTCGTCTGAAGAAGAGTGCTGGGAATATCCACACACACAGACATGAGAAGAACCCAAAACACCGTCGAAGAACGGCTGCATGCGCAAGCCTCCGTCACTCACACGCACGCTTGTTACAAACGGACAAGTCTTTGGATTTAACAGATTCAATCTGTTGTAAATCATCGATTATAAAGTTATTCAGTCAATAGGTTTCAATATTAAAATTATTGCAGTTGAGAATAACTTGGTGTTCCACAAGGTTCAGTATTTGGACCCAAATTATTTTTAATGTATAATGTTTATAATGTACATAAATGATTAGTACTAAATAAAGTTTGCAGAAGATAACTTATTGTAAGGATGGTACTTTTCTGTGGCCCGGTTTGTGTCTGTTTCCCTCGTGCTCCCTCATTAGTTCCATTAGTGCCACCTGAGTCTCGTCCCAGCTGTTTGTTATCATGTCTCGTCTTCTCCCTGTATTTAAGCCGTCCTATTCTGTCTTGTTCTTCGTCGGGTCGTCTTCGTTGGTTACTCTTCTTTGGGTCTCCTGAGTCTTTCCCTGAGTCTTCCTGGTTCCTCGAGTTCCCCGTGTCTCTCGTGTCTCCTGAGTTCCCCGTGCCTCCTTCCTATGTCCATGTAAGTTTTGCTGCCCCGTCAGCTTGTTTATTTTTGTACTTTTATTTACCATTAAAATTCTATTTTTGTATTTCTGCCGAGTTGAGTCCCTGTTCTGCACTCTGGGTTCGCTCCTACCTCAAACCATGACACTTATATACTGTAGCTCTGGAGCAGATATAAAATATTTAGTAAAAACTCAAAGTAAACCGATCCGACATGCATTAATATTGCTTAAATAAAACTAAATTTATGTTTTGTGCTTTTAACGATAGATTTGATTTTTTTTTTTTTTAAGTGCTGGGAATATCCACATACAGACATGTTAAGAACCCAAAACACCGTTGAAGAACGGCTGCATGCTCATGCCTCCGTCACACACACGCTTGTTAAATGGATACCTGTAGACGTCCAAGTCTTTGGATTTAACAGATTCAATGTCATCGATTATAAAGTTATTCAGTCAATAGGTTTCAATATATAAAATTATTACAGTTGAGAATAACTTGTGGTGTTCCACAAGGTTTGGTATTTGGACCCAAATTATTTTTAATGTATAATTTTATAATGTACATAAATGATATTAGTACAAAATAAAGTTTGCAGATGATAACTTATTTAGCTCTGAAGCAGATATAAAATATTTAGTAAAAACTAAAAGCAAACCAATTTGATAAGTTTTAACGTTGCTTAAATAAAACAAAATTTATGTTTTGCGCTTTTAGTGTTAGGGTTGATTGACTCAAGTTAAACCGAGTTGAAATTACAAGTTTATAAACAAAACTTTGCAGGAGTGATTATAGATTATATTTGTTGGAAACCACATGCAGCTTACATCAGAAGGAAGTTATTGAAATCTGTTGGTATTGGGAAAGATTTAGAGAATTAATGGATGTGAAATGTTTACATATATGGCTCTCTTGGAACGTCAAATGAGTTGGATCAAGTTCAAAGTTGAAGAAATGCATACAACACAAATTTTAACCCAATAATACATAAAACCAAACATACTAATGTTTTTATTTATTCTAGATCCTTAAATTTTGCAGATATTGTACTTATAAAAGAAACAAAATGTGAAATAGACCTGGACATGAGCTTAAAACTAACAACAAATCAGTGTTTGGGTTTAAATAAAGATTTAAAATCCAACTTAATTATGGATTATAAGTGATTTATATGTTAACAGTCTTTACTTGGCCTGTTTTTTGTTCTGTCTTGAGGATTCGTCTGTGATTTTAATAATTTGGCGTGGGATGAGAGCACATAAGCATTTAGCCTCCTCAATTTACATCAGTTTTATATCGTCAATGCAATTGTTAGTTCTTTAATATACATACACAATTAAAATAAACTAATGAAAATGGTTTCCCTGTGAGCAAAGCTAATTCATGCAACAAGAATTAATGTTCTTTTGTTACAAGTCAAAAATAAAAAACAAAACCCCCACTGCAACGTCTCAGCTTCACAGAACTGCAAAGTCCTACATCACCAAATGGACACAAAAAGTCCACCAGAAACAAAGTTTTCTGCTACGAGCTGAAGCCTCCAGTATGAGTGAGTGACTGATAGTGAGTGGCCATGCAGAGAGGCGGTGGTTTAGCGGCGCTCACCGCGGGGCTGCTGACGGTGGAGCCGGCTCCTGAGGAGTACCAGCTGTATTCAGAGGGCTGTGGACGGAGGAAGGACATGAGCTGCAGCGGGACGAGGAGGCAAAAACCGCTCTGACAAACATTCAGAGGACTTACAGCTTTAGAACTGTAGCCTGAGCCGTAAAGACCAGCGTCGTCATAAATAGAGGCCTGGGGGGTGGGGGTGGGGGGGGACCATGTGGGAAACAATGCATGACTTCGTGAAAAAACAAAAAACATTTGATGCAATATTCAGACTGGATGAACAGAATGTGCTCCATGAACAGAAAGTCCAGTAGTTTGATTCAATGACTTGTGACTCAAGTCAGACAAGTTGTTAAAGTCAAACTGTTTCAGCCAATCTGGGCTTGTTGTCCCATGTGTGACCACCTGAGAGGAGGAAGGTACTTCTGAAGCTAACCAGAGGCATGCAGAGTGATGCTAACTGCTAGGTGGACAGAAACTGACCATGCTGTAGCTGCGAGACAGCCCCGTGCTGGTGGTGGAGGAGGACGAGGAGGCCTGTGAAACGGGAAGGGAGCAGGGAAAGTCACTTTGGAGGACAGAGAGGAAACTGTGGTGAGAGATTAAAGGGCTGACGTGAAAACAGGATGAACGTTCTGCTGGTCTGGTAACGTTCAGAGGACACGAGACAGTCTGGGTTTTCAAACTCCAAGAGCTGGGTTAAAAGACGGAGCAGATAAAGATTTGAATCTTTAAGTTTGGCTGAGCAACATTACGCACCACATGATAAAGTGGAGCAACATCACCTCCTCCTTTAAATGGCCACGCCCCCTTTTGGGGAAAAAGTACAAACGACTGATAACAACAATATGAGCTTTGTCATGCTTTAGTTTGGTGCTTTGCTTTTTCCCCCTGCGGGCAAAAAATAAATAAAATTTTGGTTTGATTTGTGCCCCGAGACGACTTCTGTTGTGACTTGACACTAAATAAATAAACTGAACTGAATTTATATAAATAAACTGAATTGAATTTATATAAATAAACTGAATTGAATTTATATAAATAAACTGAATTGAATTGCTTTCTAAACAGAAAAGGGCATTAAAGAAAGATTTATACAACAACCACCTTTTATTCCCTTTTGTTGCCATTTCGTTTACAAGTTGTTGCATAAAAAATATATATATATAACATGAAAATCAAAGTTACTAATATGAGTAAATTTAAACCATAGTGATTTTTTTTTTTTAATTTCAACCAAGGTTTAAACATTTTATGCAGCTGTTGGTTAAGCTACCTTAAAGAATGCTAGTTAGCACGTTCTAAAATAATGATTTAATTAGTTTACCGTTAGTAAATTAATTTAATTAAATAACTAATCTGAAGACTGAGCCAAAACAACAAAACAAAGCAGGTTTTTAAAAAGAAAGAAGGTTAAGGCAGTAATTTATTCCTTTGGAGATTCAGTTTGACACATCAGGCCACTGGGTGACGACATTTGTAAAATCTACTTCGGTCCATATTTATGAAGGTTTTTCTACACAACGCTGGTAATCGATCAGTGGAGACAATAAATAATTGCTCCTCCGGCAGACCGTAAGATTTATGCACTTAAATGGAAATATATAGTTCCTCTTAAGCGGTTTTGTAAGCAAACACCCAAGGAACTTCATTTACCGCCTGTCAAAATAAAGGTTTTCACCCAAAAGGGGGCGGGGCTTCACGTCACGGAGGCTACCTGAACATGTTGCTCCACTCTTTTGTCTTTCTGCTCTGATGGTTTCATGGCATGTCAACATTCCTTATTAATTGAGTGGTGATTATTCTAGGCTCATAAATATTCATGGATTATCAGCTAGCCCCAGTTTCTCTGCCTGGCACAGACAGGATGACCAACCCGTGGTTGATAGGTGGAGGGCAGGGGTGGTGGTCTGGTCTTCGTAAGGCTGGTGTAGTTCCTTTGATCGTGGTACAGTCCAGTCTAGAAGAGCAGTAGCATAAAATAACCTCAAACTACATCAGAACATACAATTCTACTCTTAAAGAAGTTATCATAGCTGGATTAAATGAAAAAGCTACTACGAGTCTTCTGCGGCGCTTAAATTTAAAACTTAGAAGATAAAATGAAGTCAACTGACCAGCAACCCCTTCTTTGAGGATGAAGCTTTTTTTTGGCCAAGAAGGTCATTGTACACAGAACTCTGTCCAGTCCACGAAACGGAAGAGAAAAGAAATAAAAATGATACAAAAGAACTGGAAGGAAACAGAAAAATGTGAGACAAGAGGAAATGGATGAACACAAAGCTACGTACAGTGGAGCGGGAACTCTTGAGATGGGAACTAGTGGAGAGGCTGTCGGACTGAAGAGACACCAGGAGTTACAATCAGAACAGAAACGATCACAAACACACAATCATAAACTTTGGGCGGGGGGAGTTTTGGTAGGCAGGGCGAGGCGCCCTCCTTGGAGAATGGTGGGGGAAACTGCATTAGTGTTAATGTTGAATTATAAGAAGCAGCGGACGCAGCCTGTTTCACTGAGACACTCAGGATGAGCGCGCTCCTGCGGCGCCGCCGTCTCCTCCGACGACCCAGAGTTGGGTCAAGTTGCACGTCTGGACGACGACGCTCCGGACACATTATTTAATACAAAGTTAGACTTTAGATACAAACGTCCCGGGGAGGTGTGAGCACCGTGCGGGAGGTGGTGGGGAAGGTGCACCAGTTCTGGCATCTCCCCCAGCTGCAGTGATTTGGTCACGTGCAAACACATCCGTTTCATACGTAGACGTTTGATAATTTATTACAGCATCATCTTGGGTTAGGGCATCAGGGGGTGCTCCTTGAAAATAGTTCAGGGAACGCCGACTGGCGCTCTCACCTGCGGTCCGTCTCTAAGGGAACAGCACACGACCCGCTCTGCTCTGACTGGGTCAAACTGTGGCCATGCTTCTTTATTTGTTGAAAGCAGCATCAGTTTAATCCCTGGATCATCGTTAGGTTGAATCACTTTAACAACAACAACAAAATGCACATTTTTTCCTGCTTTTATTTTTTACAAATGACAGAAATCCGTTGCGGCGACGGAGGACGCCACGTCTACTTCACTACAACCTCGAGGCGAGATCTGGTTGTCCAAGACAAAATAGATCGTCTCAGACAGACGGAAACTGCTTCTGTCGACCCCTGGAAATGAGATTTACCCACAACTTCTTCAAACAAAGAACCCAAACGAGATTAAAAACGGTCACAAGAAACAAAAAACTACATGCATTACCAGATAAATAGATGTAAAACTTCGTCTCGTTAACTTTAACTGGATGCTTTTAGTAAATTAAACCTTTAAACTAGGATTCTAATGATGATTTATCATGAATTGATGCAGAACTGGTGGAGGTGTTTGAGCACCGTCACACTGACGCACACACGACGCACACACACAACGCACCAAGGGGTCCTTTTTACGAGGACTGGATCGACTCTTGATGGATCCCAGGTCACGGATGCCCGATGACGTCGACTTCAAATGGAAATAAAACCACATTAAGAGCAGATTTCCTGAACAGTGAAGCACTGGCATTCATTCAACGTGCACCGCTCTAAAAACAGCAGTGACTTTCACACTTCAGAGCGGCCCTTTGTACACACCCTGTAACTGCGGACTGACGCGACGTCGTCGTCCAGCCCCTGGTAACGTGGAAACACAGAGTCACAGAGAAACAAAGAAAAGGAGGCACACAGAGCAGCATTACAGGAAGGAAGGCCGACAGAAAAAGGAAACGTGGGAGAAAGATACAGACCCGCTGATGACGGCTGCTGGATTTACTACTACTAGAGGCTCTGGCTTTTTCTGAGTCCGCCTGGAATCAGGAAGGCGAGTTAACAGGAGTCAGTGAGAGTAGAGAGCCCCGCATTTCATTATGCAAGTTTATCACCAATATTTGATGACTTAAAAGACAAGCAAAGTTTCATTAGTCTCATTTTTTGTCACTAAAAAACACACGGATTAATTTCAAGCACACGGACTGTAGCAAAAAGTCCAAACCACCTTTTTGTGCTTGCAGACTAAACCAATCTATATAAAGCCAAAGGCCAAAGCCGACTCTCCAAACACACGGGCGCACATCACAATGTCTCCAAAGCAAACACTCCGCTGAGGCATATTTCCAGCATGAGGTACAGAGCGGTCTGCAAGTCAAGTGCAGCTAAACGGGCAGGCTCAATCCCACACGACTGTTAGTGGAAAAGAAATAATAATACAGCAAAGATACTCCTCCTGCTCCCCTACCATCCACTGGTGGATGTGACCCCATTTTCTGCTGCTACTGCCGGACGAGTGGTAAGAAAGCTGAACAGAGAGGGATGGGAATGCCAGGAAAAACAATCAAACTTTACTCAGCACTGCCTAAACAGAGAGAACTGGTTGAACTGTGGACATGCAGCGCTTTCATTTATACGCTTGTGGCATTTTAAAGTATTAGATTGCAACACAACGGCTTGCTTGTGCGAGCGTCTGTTTTTGTTCCAAATACCTCTTTTTGCTGTCGCTCAAGTTCCCTCATTCGGATGTCTCTGGCCTCGGCCCGAGCTGCTCGCTTTGCTGCCAGCCTTGCCTCCGCCTGCGAGAAGCAACGTGGAAAATGTTAAATGTTAAGAAAGCATCAAAACAGCAAACAACATATACTGTAACTGGATGGATTGGATTGTTTTATACGACTCGTTAATCTGTAGGCAGTCACATCAAAACGAACCTAAAAGTACTCAAATCACTGATGTTTAAATGATAAAAGTATTTGGGGAATTTCGTGTCCACCTAGACACACAGTTCAACATTTAGGAAGGAAGGGATGCACTCATGCAGATATCAGTTCTGGTTTGAATGCCGTGTTGTGCACACTGCTCTGAAACCACAGCACCGGCTTCACTTTAGAGCAGCGCGGCAGAGGAGGAGTCAGCCATGTTCAAGATGGCTGCTCTGAACTTAACCGATGGCGTTAACGCACTAAAAAGCTGTTTGCCAAGTGTCAGTAAACACCAGAAGAACACCAAGAAGCCACGTGGAAGCGTTTCATAAAACCAGAACGACTGAGCAGAATATACGGAACTGAACTCGAGCTTCCCGGCAAGACGATGAAGGCCTCCATCATCGTCATCGAGGTGAAAACAGGGCATTGTTGAAAAGCACGAGTCGTTTAAGCGTTATCGACCTGGGAAAGCCGAGTCAGCAGCGAGCAGACGGCTGCTGCCATCAAGCTGCTCCTTTCTGAGGACACGGGATGAAATGTGGTTCTTCTACCACGGGTCATTGAGGAGCCTGGAAAGTGTCTAAAATCTGCATAGTGAGTTGCAGCTACATCCTCCAAGGAAGGCGCCAAGCTAATGCCCGCTTCAGTGCTTCTTTCCTGTGGTGTTCCACAGGGCTCAATTCTTGGACCCCTTCTGTTTTCACTATCTGCTCCCTTTTGAGTCTATCTTGAGGAAACATGGTCTTTTGTTTCATTGTTATGCTGATGATCATCAGATTTATCCACCCTTAAAACCCAGTAGTTCATGCACAACTGACCCTCTGTTAAAATGTTTTGATGACATTAAGGCATGGATGGCTTCAAATGTTTGAAGTTTCAACAATCAGAAAACTGAAGTTATTGTGTTTAGCCCTAGCTCTACCGCTGTCTCGGTTCCTGTAAAGATAAGATAAGATGGAACTTTATTGATCCCGACTCTCTCGAGCCGTATCTTAATCGTGGGTCCTAAACTCTGGAGCAATCTGCCCCCCCAACATTAGACAGGACACTTATTTTTTTAGTTTTTAAACCTCTTCTAAAAACACACCTGTCTTCTCTGGCTTTTAACACAGTGTGATCCGAGTTAGTATTTCACCGTTATGTGTTTTTACGTTTTCTTTTGATGCTTTTAATTACATTTTTATATTATTTTTTCTTTAATTACTGCCATTGATTTTATTGTTAAGCCTTTGGTAACAGCTGCTGTTTTTAAATGTGCTTTATGAATAAATTTGACTTTGACTTAATGTTAACAGAGACATTTAGCCGAGCAGCTGGGAGCTGGAGGTCTTTAAAGAGGTGAGTGACAGAAACTGTCCATTGTTGGAATGTTTTCAGAATATTATCTATATTTTATCTTTAAGTTACATTTACTACATTTAAATTACATTATTGGGTAGAAATGGTTCCTCTTGAGCTGAAAGTGGCCGTGATGGAGATCGTTAAATGTCACTAAACATCTTATTTTTAACATATAAAACTACCTGTTGAGACTAATTAAATTTACTAAATCTAAATTTTTACTAAATCGATTTTACTAATTGTAAGAAGTGTACTTGGCATCAGCAAGTACTTCAGTACTTGTACCCAGTTTGGAACAAAAAGTGCATCAGTGCATCCCTAATCCCAGACTTTTAAATCTATCCCATAAATGTACAATAAAGAATATACATAAAATCCAGAGAAGGAAAATCCTGTTTTTGCATAAAGTTTATGAAGTTTGAGTCTTCCTCAACACATCTTGAGGTGCATTTTGTGAAAATAAATTCTAATTCAGAGTAAATTGGGAAATGCCGCACATCAACTGGATTATTACGTAACTGAACAAATGGAAAAAAATTTAAAAATTGCCATCTTACGTAGAAGATTAAAAGCTCTCCTCATTTTAGCAGATTTATTCCAAAAGTTAAAATGTGCTCATTTAAAAAAAATGCGCAAAATTCTGATTGGTTTCCAGTTATTCTTTATCGTACCTAATCAGTGCCGAAAAGTGAAATACATTCTTTTCTGTCCTTTAGGACTGTGCAGAAACCCTGTTTGTAGTGTTTTTTCTTGTATATATTTTAGTCTTGAACAAATACAGGAGTTCCTAATTAAAAGAAAACGTCATCCGAGCGTGTGTAAAAACATGTTTTTAGTTCATGAAGTCTCAAACGTCCACATCATTCCTAAAAACACAAAGCAAGCATCATTATTCTTTTTAGAGGGTTGGTTTCATCTGGAAAACACCGACCCAAGCATTCGGACTGCCCCGTCCTGAACAACATGTGCGAATCATCAACCTCAGGGGGGCTGATTTGACCCCCCACCAAGGAGAAGAACACAACAGCGAGCAAACAAAAGTAGTTTCTTGTAGCTTGTAAATATGGAGGGAATTCAAAATGAATACGAACAAGCTCGACCAAATCCAATAAAAATTCCTCCGAGGAAAACGTTATAAAAAATTCCCTAACGAAGCCGGAACATGAGCTAATTTTATGGGCTTTTCCACAGAAAGTAATAATTTAAAGCAGTCCCTGGATAGCCGGGGGGTGGAGGTGTTGGTCACACAGGTAGCCTGTCCTCCTCGTAGGCTGCACACTCTCAAACTAGTCACTCCATCAAACTGGGAACAAAACACAAGTTCACGGAGCTTTATCTGCAGCTAGGAGACGGCCATAAATACTGCTGATAGCGAGTTCAGAACCTCGGAGCAGAACCGCCGTCAGCATTCCTGAGGTTCTTATCTGCAGAACAACAGGCCTGTGAGGAGAACTGTTCCTGCTCCTCCACAGCCTGCAGGAAATAAAAAACATCTCGTTTAACACCGACACCGTAACAAGACTATAAAAATGAGCGACACCTGATTCCCGGCAGTCGTGCCCTGGTGGTTAATTGAGCGCAAGTCAACAAAGCTAAAATTAAGACGGATCAAAGTCTGCGCTGCGCGTCCAGAGAAACCTGCTGCGGCTGTTGTTCAGCTCTGCTGCATTTCACCAAAGAAAAATTTGAGAAGTCACATAAAAGATTTTTACTCAAAGCTCTGATTTAAACTTTTCACACACAATTAAGAGGAAAATTATTTGTTAAAGTGAAAAGTAGCAAAAGGCTAGCTTAACAGCCAAAAGCAGCAAAAAAAAGGTAGCCAATAGTACCACAAGGGTAGCTAAAACTAGAACAAAAAGCTCACTACAAGCTAAAAAGTAGCATGATGGTAGCTAAAATTAACAAGATGGTAGCTAATAGTAGCAAGATGGTAGCTGAAAGTAGCAAGATGGTAGCTGAAAGTAGCATGATGATAGCTGAAAGTAACAAAACGGTAGTTAAAAGTAAACTATGGTAGCTAAAAGTTGCACGATGGTAACAAAAAGTAGCATGACAGCAGCTAAAAATAAATTATGGTAGCTAATAGT